CACGTCTAAAGAGTGATGTAGAGCAGGGCATAGTGGGGTGTTGCCCCTGACTCTCAACCAAGCTCCCTTCTGTAATTAAGGCAATGGGTTGAGCTATGTGTCTTAATGGTGGGCCACTCCCACACACCAAATCAGAGGGCTCTGTAACCACACACACATATTACATAAACACACAGACACACAAAGAAAAAATCTGTTGTGTATGTAACCAATGCACACTGACTGTGTTTGTGTATGCTGTCTGTTGTGGTGAAAATGTTTAGTGAGGACAGTAACCATAGACATATGTCTGAGTCTAAATTGGAGTGATTTACACAGAGGCATTGGGTAGGAACGGTGGGCTTCTGGACTTTAACACAAGCTGCCATGTAAACCTTCCATGTATTTCTAAAATGAGGCTTGATGTAAGCATATACACCTTTCCCTCACAACTTCATCTTTCTTCAGCCTGTCCAAAAACTACAGCAGGATGTGGTTATACATGGGAGAGTTTAGTCTTCAAAACCAACCTGTAATCTAGTTGTGCATGCTTGTAGAATATTCCATGATAGACTGTCTGTAAGTTTCCATTTTCACTTAGACATCTGTCCTGTAAGCAGTGCTAAAGTTCCTCAGCTTAAACCATTTTGCCAATTCTTTTGGCCATTCTCCCAACAGCCATTCCTGTGCGGTTTTCCGCTCCCACCTCATCCTATTCTTGGATGTGTGCTTTCCTAAACCATACTTAGGCTGTTTTACAAAGCAAATGAAATGGTCTATACTTTAAATACATGTTTATGAAATTCCCAAACTTGCTGTCGCATTCCTTCAAAGATGTAGACACCAAAAGGAACATTCCAAAACCTTGAGAGTTGTGCTATGGTGACTGGGGCAAAAACGTGCGACAGTCCTTTTCCAAAAGTGTTTCATGAAACATTTGGTATATATTTCTTCACTATAGACAAATGCACATTTAAGTGAATCTGTGTTCTGGATTGAAATTCTAATCCAACTTTATGCAGATGGATCAGAATGACGCTGTGTGATTTAATTGTAATTGCATTGATCACATTTACCTGAATTTGCCTGAACTGTTTGTCATGTGAAAATTGCAATAACTGAGAATGAATGCTTGAAGAAAAATAAATTGAACTGAAATCTAAATATATCTTAGATAAATTTGTAAATCTTGGCTTATTGAAACCCATTGTTAGGACTCCTTTCATAAACCAATCAAAAACTTACTCTTGCTTGTTTGTATAGATTTATTTTTTTAAGCGTCTATAGTTTTTATGATATAGTGAAGTACTCTGTGCTTCAGATAATTAGTGGTTATCTGAAGCCCTTGAATCTTGTGACTCAGTAATCCAATTTACCGTTTAGCTACATACCAATGCATGGTCACACTCAAGTTAGTTTTTCTGTCAATCACGTACTGACACACGTACACACTCACACACACATGCTGAGACACACAAAAAATGCCAACCATAATAACATGTTTGTATTAACACAAGTTGCAGGATCTGTTTTTATGTATTTGTTATTCTGTTTATGACTTCTTTATTTCTGTTCCTGAAGAAAATACAATCTATTTAGAGGCACATAATGATGTTAGTAATTGGTATGCCCAGGCCCCTGTCACCTGGCTCATGTAGCACATGACCTTGACATCCCTCCCTGCATGGGGTGGACCACATGGAGGAGGCTTTTATTTTGCTTTTCTGTTAAAGCCCAAGGAGCCAAGTTTCAACTGGCAGGTGCAAACAACTTAATTTTGTCTCAATGAAAACTTTTACAAGTTTCAATAAAAACTCAAAAATATCCAGTACACATGAGTGAGTGACATTCCTTCTAATTTTGATTGGTTGTTTTTGACTGGGAGAGGTGCATTTGTGCAGGTGATTAATAGCACTAGGAAACAGTGGAGGAGCATAATGTTTTCTCAGATGATCTGTCTCATACCATGCTGTCATAAAATTGTGAGTTTTAACAAAGATGCAAAAAGCATAATTTTTTACATAAGTTACATATTGCAGCTTGGATTTTGACAAAATATAGTTTTACAAAAAACACGGTTGTCATCCTGTTGGTGTGCCGTGATGTTTGTAGATTGACTCTGAACTTGCTGCAGTGGCTGGAATAATATAGTTGATTCTACCTTTGCCCACAGTGTGGACTGTGCTACCATGTGCTACCCTGCAGAGGCAGTGAAAACTCTCCCTTTGACTATAATGGGTACATAATTACTCCGGATTTCATTCAGTGGCGGAGCAGAGATGCAAGCAATGTAAATTGGAGGTTATGTAACACAGATCATATTGTTATCAAATGCAGGTGGTAACGTCTGCAGCTGTCCTGAGTGCCTCGTCCTTGTATAGTATCCTGCATTGCCAACTGGACATTTTTGCACTGGAGCGTTTTTATGGTAATATGATGTTTTCTTTTCCTGGCAAAGTGGAAAAAGTCTCCTGATTTTTTATTTCCTGTCTTCCTGACTGATACTGTCACAGGACATTGGGGTCAGTGAGTACAGTACACTGTACAGTGGCTTTTTAAGTTAATTTTCCTCCCACTGTGGGATGTGGGGGCAGAGGGCAGCTGTCAGCTTTTGCAACCCTTGTGCATTGAAAAAAAACAGTTCCAACCCTTTATCCAAAACGCTAATGAGAAGCACACAGTGGGGGAAAGAGAGAGAGTTGGATGAAGGTTGAGGTCATGGCTGTGTGAATGCTTGAAGGAGATGTGGAGGTCTGGGGGAGTCTGTGATAGATCACAGACCAAGGAAAACAGCTGTCTACCTCTCTGCATCCTTACCCTGCGGTGACCTGAAAATGCATCTGAGAAGACCTGCAAACATATCCATCCTTTGGCATTCCTCAAGAGAACTAAGCAAAGCAACATAAATAGAGGCAGACCAAAAGACAGGTTCTAAAAACGCACCGACAGTTAGTGTTGAACTAATCAGCCGGCGATCAGACAAGAAATGATAGGTTATAGAAATACACATGTGACTCTATTTGTGGTCGGGAGAGAGTGCATCGCCAAGGCTGAAGATCTCCCTGTAAGAGTAATCAGTTAGAAGTTGTACACAGGTTACTTAACACACTTAGAAAGTCAGCTACTTACAGCACACGCATGTAATAAACAACCTTAAATAAGATCCAACAGAGAAACTTGGCCAGAAATAAATTTGTGTGAGTGTTTTATGCTGTTTTTCTAATTAATCTTATCTGTGCTCTGGATCACATCTCAGAGATATGCAAAGAGCCTCTATAATGTCAGAAGCTTGGCTTTTACTCCTGAGCATTGATACTAAGGGTGGAAAAAACACTGAGTGCGCTCGATTACTGGTTGTGTGAAGAAGCTACAACTTTCTCCTCCATGTCTTCACACTTTTTGCCAAGAGCAACATGCCTTATTCATTGTTTGAAATTGACAGAAGGTGAACAGTTAATGTGATGCTGCTGGATCCAGATGTTGGTGTGGAAAGGATGTTTTGTGCAGTTTTATGCAGCACAACGTGTTAAATGTCGAGACTACTTGTTGACAATAACAAGTTTTTTTTAGATTACTCGCCCAATCAGACTATGTGACTAAACCTGCTTATTTTAGTCACAAAGGTTCAAGCAGTTAATTTTGAAAACAGTCATCCTTCTGCTATTAGATCCTGAGTTTGCACTTAGTTTGTTCTTAAGGTTTTACCCTTCAAGCTGTACTGCAAACATTTGTGTTATTTTATTCATGTGTTGCTGTCAGGTGTGACCCTTATAGTGCAATATTATATTGCTAGGAGTGTGAGTTTTTTAGGCAGTTGCTACAGTTTGAAATGTATTGTATTGATTGTCAGTTTTGTGAAGATAAGATGATGTTGGAAGCTGGAAGAAAGCACAACTCATTTAAAAGGTGTATGCTTCAGAGCCTCTGTGTGATTTACTTTTATTGATACACACCCAGCACATAGTAGTTTTAGATGGGATGCTCTTCCATGCAGAGCACTTCCTCAAAGTTATGCTACAATCAGTTTTATGATAAACTTAAAAATAAAATCCAGATCTAATGCAAAGATGAAAGAATAAACAGATGGTGGAAGTGCAGAAACCCACCATTCATGTATAGAAAAAAAAATATAGACAGCAGATATAATACCCTTGGCAACAGCAGTGTGGTTTGACATTTATGAAAGCGGAAGGGAAGAACCTATTTTACAAGCACAGAGTCAAGTGCAGGGGTGGGCAATCCTGGTCCTGCAACTCTTAGATGTCTCCCTGGTCCAACACACTTGAATCCAATAGCTGAATCACATCTTAAACACAGTCAAGTTCTCAAGAGTTCTGCTAATGACCTCATTATTTGTCTCTGGTGTATTGAAGTAGAGATACATCTAAAAGGTGCAGGAGGCTAGCATTTGAGGCGTGGAGTTGCCCACCCTTGGTCAAGTGGCATCATGATTTTTTCCTTTACATTGAAATAGGACTTTTAATCTTGTGACGTTCATAAGGTCACAAAGGTTCTTCAGACCATGAGGATGTCTTAACACAGTCCAGAGACAGAGTAGCTGACATGATGGTTGCATGAGAGCTTACAATACAAATTTACCTCACATTATTCATATGTTGTCTCACAAATCCTATGAATCCATTTTGTTGTTTTGCCCAGGAGGACCCTCTAAGACAGATTTTAATTAATAGTCCAATCCACTGTCTAAATGTTCCAAATAAACTTTACAAAATTGTCTGTTGGCCAAGAATCTGCTTCGAGTCGAGCTCAAAAGATGCAGCTGCAGACTTTAACAACCACAAGATCTTTTTTTCTTCTGCCACATCGATTTCTTCAGGCTTTCCTTTACTACCCACATGTTTTTGCTTTGATTTTAGTGTTAGGTTTTTAACAAAATTCCTGCATGAGTGGGGGGTCTATCCAGTCGTACACACCCAACACATATAAATTAAAGTTGTTTTTAATTATGCTTGTGTAGATTCTTAAAACATTGTAACACGCTTATATTTGTTTCCTTGCAGGGGAATCCACGTATCTGAATGACCACGGACCACCTGCTCAGAGAGTAAGTCCTTATCTGGTACAAGCAATTGCTATCCCTTGATCTTTTTTCCCCCAAGCCTTCTGTCTCTGATGTGTTAGCCTGCAGTTGAATCCAGCTAAGTCAAGGAAGGTGAGGGGTTAGGCTTATGTGAAGGAGCTCCATGCGAACTCCGTAAATACCAGTGGGACCTGCCTTCACAGCTACAGTAAAGCTTTGAATGCACTGGCACAAACACCGAGGGAGAGCTGACACAGGGGCCTTGTATCCATCCAGCTGCATGTCTGCAGAACTATCTTTCCTCTGAGCTCCCTCTTTCTCTCTTTGCCAACTGCCTTCTCCCTCCACCATCTGACCCTTGTTTATTGACAGCATCTTTAATCAGTCACTCCATTTTTACCTCATTTTGTTTCAGTACAATCTCTTTCTTTTACTTCGTTCTTCATGCTTGATTGGGGTTGCTGTTTAGTGGGTGCAATGTTGAAAATCCCCGAGGACAATAATGAGGTTTGTTTGTAGCTGTTGAGAGCAGCTATTGCTTTTATTTTAGATCACATCTGGGTTTTATGTTTCAGTATATGTTTTAAAAACTTACTTTGCATTCAAACAAACCAAGTAACCACATCCCTTGTGCCTGTAACACAATTACTAGTGTTATTATTTGACAGCAGAGATGTGGATTTGATGATTTTTCATTATTTGAAACAAGCAATTTGCAATTGAGAAATTCACATGCATTGGAATGATTCAGAGCAATCAATAAAATGCATGTTTTATCATGCCAACGTTATTTGGCTTGATAAAACAGGTAGCTGTGTGTCTGAAAATATTTATAAATTTGAATTTAAGAGTTTTTAAAGTAGCGGCTCAAGTGTTACTTGAGGCGTCTGATTATATTCATTATAATCATTGAAACACAGAAGCTGATCTGTGTTGAGCTGTCAAAGAAAATTGTCACTTTGTTTCTGAAACCAGATGGGCGTTGTTGAGAAAAATAATTTCTTTGGCTTTTGAGCCACTTTGATTAAGTTATAATGGTCAACCGACCATCATCTGGCCTATTTTATGACCATGGGAAGAAACTAGTGTTGGGGTTTGATGGGTCTTACAAAAACACCTGCTTTTTCTTTTAAGTTAGTAAAGAACAAGATTATTTTTAATAACAACAAACTGACAAATAAATACATTCATAAAATCTCTGAGACACCGCCACAGGAGGCTAATTCCTCCGAAGCGGAGAGTTCTTCCATATATTTGTGTCAAACCTAAAATGAAGTTGCCAGCCCCACAGATCACCAAGTGAAACAATTCCATCGTGATAGCATGAAAGCCTGCAAAAACTAAAACCCTGTCCACTGTTTGAACCTATGACCTTCTTGCAAAATATAGTCTGACTATTGGGATTTTGAAAAAAAGTTATCATTTAAGAAAATCCAATTTTTAAATTTGCACTCATTGATTCACTTAGGCTTTTTTTTTTTTAACGTATACCTTCATAAAGTTGAGCCTATCACTTTACTTTGACTTGAAATGAGAGTGCAGACATCACCACAATACATACATTTTCCAGATGCACTGACTTGATTGACACTTGTTCCAAAATAGTTGCATGTCATTGACCGACTGATTCCTTCTACCCTTTTCTATCCCCAGAAAGACATTAATGATGGTATGCTGGTGGCATGTGGTACATTAACCACATCTCTCAGTATCATTTTGTTGACATGCCCTCTTGCAGTTGGAACTGATCAGGAGTGTCAACAGTGGCCTGATGTCGAAGAGCATGTGCAGTCAGAAAGCTGTGGTTCTGGTTAATATGGGGAAAGATTTGAAACCGAGATGAAAGTCCAATGTAAATGAGAACATATGGAAAAACCACAATTCACCCAGAATAGCGCTGTAAGGCTTTTTGTGTGTGGTCGTGTTCCCTGAATGTCAAATCTACAATTGTGTGGATGTTTGCATGCATAGATCTTCACTTTTTTTTTTCTTTCCAGGAAAAAGATGTTTATGTTAGTGTTAAAACAAACCTTTGTGATTATGTTTTATTCTGACATTGAGTTGTTTTCTCAGGCATTTGCATCAATAATTGCTAAATCACCTATTGATCCCAAGACATAAGAACTGCCAAAGCTACAGACACTCTGCCTTTCTTGTTCTGCTTTCTGTAATAACAGGAAATGCTTTGAATTTCCACTCTTCCCACAGCCGTAACCTAAACATGCAGTTCTTCCCTTGGCTCACAGTGGAAGAAACTGACCCCAGATCAGGTCTAGCTAAAATATGCAGACTCACTTTTCACTCTCGTGTGGGTTTGTATCAGTAACAGCTGCTATGCATTTCCAGGAAGAGTGGTTGTGATATGGGGGTCAGTGAGCCATCTTTCTTCGCCTAAACAACGTGACATCTGACAATGTTTTAAAAAATCCCAAAGTTACTTGGACATTTGAGTGTAGACGTGTGAACAGGCCTCTAATTTTAGAAAAGTGAAGACAGAAGAAAGAGTGTGACAGAAAGATGTCTGGAATGACTCCTCTTCCTGAAAATCTGCATATGGTTAGTTCAAATGCATTACCACAACAAAAGTCAGACTGAAATAAATCTCCTCATCAGATGCAAAATTAAAAACAGTCTTGTCATATTTTACTTTCTGATTTCCTAAATACACCAGAAACTGAATACCTTTCCTAAACAACACTTTATGGTGTAGTTTAGAAAAACTACACCATAAAGAACAGGAACAATGATAACACAAATAGAAAAATTGCCAGACAAAAATTTTGTCTGTTGTCAGTGCTGAGAGGAGAGCGTTCCTGGTGTTCTTCCAGCATTATTCAGCATCAAGCTGATAAAAGTTTGAAGAAGTCATTTGTCATGATATGTGCAGGGAATGATGTCCTGCAAAACACTGCATGTGTTTTACCAGCTTTAAGCTTAGATGTCTGTTATTTGGCAAACATAGAGGAATGTTGGGCGTGAACTCCAGGGAAACCGTCTCTGAGCTGCTTTCCCAAAACTCGTCTACCTGCTGCTTTCACACTTGAAACTTGAAATAAAGCATTTCCTTGCTACAGTTGTTAAGAAAAAAAGAGTTTTGTTAACATGTAAGCTGGGACACGCCTGCAAGGAATATTTTTCTTTAATTTGGGAAGGCTTGTGTAAGAGTTTCAAAGCAAAGCAGTGGAAGTCGAGGCTTGTTTTTGGAAACATGCGAAAAAAACATGAAAAAAGGTATTAAAAATATTGTCATAAGATTTTGACGTTTCATGTAATTTCATAGTGTTAATTGGATTAATCCAGGATGGGGGCTTTGTATTTTTTTTTTTTTTTTTTGCCACTATAGCTTCAGTAATAGTTTGTTGTTTGCGCCTATTGATTCAACCCATAAAACTAAATTATTACTTTCAAGCTCTTTGAACCCACATGTATTCATTTGGAATGATCAGCTTTTAAATGAGAAAGAGAATAAAAGAAAATTATTTCAACCTGTATATGCTGAATTGACAACCTTTGCATTTTTTTAAAGGCTCGGTCTTTCTTTTAAATCTCCTATGAATCTTTTTTTCCAGACATATCTTTTAAATTGATTGATCAGCTTGCGTAACTGAATTTGAAAGTAGGCTTATGTTATAAACCCAGTGGTCATCTAGATATTTGTTTAATTAGTGCATTTGGTCTTAAAGATGACACATTTGACATGTCTGTTAAGGCAGAAATAACAACCCTTTTCTTTAATTGGTGAATCATGACTGAACTGCTTCTTATTACCGGTGACTCATGCTGTGTGTGAGTGCTTGCTGTAGCTTGTGTGTGTGATGAAAAAGAAAACTGTCAGTTTTGTTCTGCTGTGCAGTTTCTGACTCACTGAGTTCAAGGAAAAAAAGAACATATGAATAAGATAGAAGAAACCTTAGACTCTGAGGACAGCTGCAGCTTAAATGCAATGTGTTGTAACTTTGGCTGAAAATCTTTAAACTTCTTTACATCAATAGCTTTTTTTTCTACATGGCTGGCTACTCAAAGACATTTGCAATTACTAATTAAAACATTCCCATCGCACATTTATACAGCAAAAGATGCATACATAAAATATGAAAATATTATTGAATAATACAATGATTTTTTTTCTTCTCTTCCTGTGTCTTTATTTCCCTGTATGTGTCTACAGGTGCTCCCGTTTCCCAGCCAGGTGGTTTATAACCGTGTGGGGAAGTGCGGCAGCCGGACAGTGGTCATCTTACTGAGGCTTTTGGCTGAAAAACATAAGTTCAACCTCGTCTCTTCTGATATCCATAATAAAACACGTCTCATGAAACAGGAACAGGTGAGCCATGTAAAGGAGAACATTTATAACAAGATATTGCAATGCGTTATTGAAATTCCACTTTAAAAAAATTGATGCTAAGTGCAATATTGAAAGAGTGATTCACTGTTTTATAGTATCTCAGTGAATTCTTTGACTTTTCTTTCACTTTCCAGGTGTTTGTTATATGATGTGCTTTGTGTGGGACTGCAATACAATTTATCAGGCTCAGACTGTAAAACATTTAATGTGACTTTTGATACAGAAAATTACATTTTAATTCCCCCTCCCCCCCTCATACACTAATAATTGGTGTACTTGTTTGCATAAAAAGCAAACACTAGAAACTGCATCTTAAGCAGCTCTTATGAACACTATTTGTTAATTCGAGTCATATTACCAGATGTTGACTCACAGGTTTTAGCGTAAGAAGAAAACTGAATTATCCCCATGTGACTTCCAGTGAAATATTTTCAGCATTCTGCCTTTGAGTTGTATGGGGGACTTTTCCAGTGATGCAACTCACTCTTGAGAAATCTATATGAGAAAACAACTTAATCACATATTACGGGGAACTGATGTAGCATTGACTCATAGTCATAATGTTATTGGTTGCCTTATTCATGAAAAGGTCATGGTTAGATTCAGCTGATTCTAATTATATAAAGCAATTACTGATTTGATATAAATGTTAGGCTAATATTGAAATAGTGACTTGTTTACATATTTGTCAAACTCTGAATGCCTCTTGTGTATGTTGTGACCTAACATCATTAGCCTGATTAGGCTTCTGCACAGAAAACATCTCAGTGAACGGTCCAAAAAAGTGTGAATATTCTCATGTCATAACAAGCCTGTTTGGTGCTTATGTGCAATCCTGTAAAAGCCACCTTAATCTCTCGTGTTTATTTGCCCGAGTACTTTAGTGCATGTTGACTTATGCAAATGCAGATGCACATTGCTTAACTTCGAGCTCCTACTCTCATCAGCTGAGGTTCTGGCTCATCAGTGCAATTTTTGACAGTTTTTCTGGTGACACTTTGACCAGAATGTTAACCATTGTTTCTGCAGTCAATAATTTTTGCATGAAAGTTGCGAATTTATTTTTGCACTTTTAAGTCTCTTTTTCATATCAGCCATGCTGTAAAAAGATTATTGACATCTTCTTTGTTCCCAGGGTGCAGAAAAGTAGACAAATTTCCTGGAAGAAATGAAAATAAAAAATGAAAAGCTCAAAATGAAACAACTACAAAGAGCCAGCTGTTGTGAATTAATGTCAAAGCTGGTTTTCTCCTTTTGAATAATCGGTAAATCTGTGCTCTGGAGGCATCGTGAGAACCAGATCCTCAGAGTAGCAAATGGATGTCCGTCCCCGTTTATAGATAATTGGATAACACATGTCACAATGCATGTAAGGACATTGAATTTCCTCCCATCAACCTATTTTTAACATGTTTAAAACTAAATTGTATGTTCATACTCTTTGAACATTTTAATATGTGGGACTTTATGTTACCCGACAGGAAGTGTGGATAGTTAGAAATAGAAAAATGTTGCATTGTTTTTAAATTTGTCACAAATAAAAAGTATTAAAGGTGTTGCATTTATTTGTATTAAGGAATTGCACACAGGAAGCAATCTTTGCAACCTTTCACAAGCCATGCAGGAGGCACAGCAAACATTTCAAAGATGAACTGATCAGATAAAACCGACTGAACTTTTTACCCCAAAAAACTTGAGGCTTAACTAGCGGTATGTTTATCTGCACTTGAGCTACTTCTCAAATGATACACAACAGTTTGACTCTCTAGATATAAAAATCTTGTCAATATCTAAAAACTGTTAAAATAAATGTGTAATAGATCTGCATTTTTATTTGTAAAAGAATTTCCAATTGTTTTACTTTAAAAGTGTCCATTACTTTGTCTCTGGTAAAATTCCAGCACATAAAATTTCAATTAGTTTTCGTAACCTGACAAAATGTAAAACTGTTCAATGGCTTTAACTACTTTTTCAAGTCAGTGTGTTTATTGTTTTAATCTTTCACATAGTCATACTTTCTAACTGTTGTGTGGACATTGAGTTACGGGAAAGAAAGAGCAACAGTCAAAACTTTGTAATTTTATCCTTTTCTGTTCCTTTGATGAGTCTCGTGAAGATACCACTGGTGTTCAATTAGGAGGGGGAAGTGCAGGTATGCCTGGAATCCTTCACTTTCTCCCTTCAGCCTTTCCTGGGAAATTAGAGGAGGGAGTGCTGGACACACACACACATACACACAGACATAGCCGGCAAAGAGACACGGAGACACACTTGCACATTTTCTTACTAAATGTAAGAAATGTGAGGCACTCTGTGTCAACTCTGAGATAGAGAAAGGTGTTTAAAAAAGTCATGAACTTTTTTTTTTTTTGTCTATTTAAAGCAATACAATATGATAAAGTATTGATCAAGGGAATGGATAAATGCAGAAGAATAAATAGTACAACACTAATGAAAGCTTTATATTATGTTTTATGGCACAAGAAATCCATAAAGCATGGAAACGGAGTTAGTGGAAATGTACTGGCTTATAGAAAAGAGGGAGTGTGAAGCCTGAATCTGAATCTGACTGGAGCCTCTGAATAACTGTATAAACAAGTATACATATTGCTGTTGCTATCCAAATAGTGTTGCCATGACATAACAAGTGTCTGTATAAGAGTAGAAAGTGTAAACAGTACTTGAGCCGACCCTCTCTTGTTTTATTTTAAAAGATGAAATTGTAAAAAAAAAATGGGGAAAAAAGTTTTCTTAATTTTTCTTTGGAGAGAAATTTGATGAAGAAAAGAAGTGTGGCTGTGTGCAAAGAGAGAGAACAAAAAGTATAAGTTTAAATATTTTGTTAGTTTCAAGCACAATCTTCAATGTATTTTATTTGAAATTTATCTGGTAAATCAAATCAAAATAGCACATAAATCTAAGGCAGAGTTGTAACATTCATCTTGCAATTAAAAATAAACATATATGTATTTAGTTGATTTTGCTTATCCTGCCAAAAAAATCTCATGAAGGTAGCTGCCTTCAGAGAGAAGTCATCCAGTGATTATGGTGCTTTTTTGTATAATCAAACGCATGTAAAATACAGTTGTTTTGTAAGGCCTTCAGTGGTGTTGGATGTGTCAGAGAGAATAATTCAAACAGTGCGTCCTTCTTTCACACTCAGCTTGCTGCTGCCTGTCTCCTCTTAAGTAGCTTCACTTGTTCTTACGTGGAGCTCCTAGATCCGTTCCAGAGGAATGCTTTGTTGAAAGTCTTCTTGTTCAATGACTGGCCACATCCTGCTGCTCTCCTTACTTTCCTGTTGAAGCCAAAACGCCAAGAAAGATTTGTCAACTTAACAAGTAATACCCTGGAGTCATGTTGTGTTAATTTCTTGACCATTTCCATCAGGCTGCCGCAATGCATAATTCATAGGAGCAGGTGTTGCATTATGGCAGGAAATGAGGCTAAGAATGTAGACTACATACCACATGTAGACAATGAATATGTGGAATAAATGTCAAGCTTTCCCTTCACTGAGCAACTCCTAACCTGCTGCTCAAGCTTTTATTGCCCCAGTATTAGATCACTACAATCCATTATGTGTTTGGCATGGCCCAGGTGGAGTTGGTTCAGAAAGCTACAGCCAGATTTCTGAGTGGTGCACATAAACAGAAACATATTACACCATTTTTGGCAACATAACGTTGGGTTCCTGTCTGAAGCGCAATTTACCATGAAATTCTGCTACTCAAATGCAAAGAGCATCAACTTTTATGTCAAACCTGCTGCTTTCATACACCCTGCTTGCAGGTGTGTCCAGATTCGTGTCCAGGCTACATTTCGAAGAATTGCCCTTCCAAATATGCTATTATATTCTAAATTACATTATTACATGCTGTCATCTTTATTGATGATAAGACTGTTGAGAATTAGTGTGTTTTTTTTTACCATATTGTAATTTTGAGCAGGGAATTTGTATTCTTTCTTTAAGTATTTATATTTTTTATTTTATAAAAAGCTGACTTGTTTATTATGTCTGCCTTCAGATAACATCTGAAGGGCATCAGTATTTCCCAAGATTCTCGTGTCTCAAACAGACAATAAGGCAACCAGTTCCAATTATAGTTGATATTTTGAAAATTGCTCCTGATTTTCATAACTAAAAGGAAAACAATCCTAAGCATTTTGGTATTTCAATTAGTTGTTTTCTGATTCCTTTTTTTTTCAATGAAATACTATACATTCCCTGCTTTGCAGAGAAGTAACTTTTGCTGCATATTATGTTGCATTACTCCAATATGGAACTATTTAGGTGAGGAATGACTTCATATTTGGATTCATTTCTGTGGACCTTAGTCCAAGAGCCGTGAAGCTGGTGGATTCTGGCTGCTTCTTGCAAGTTTCTCCAAGCAGACCTGGAAAGCCCCAAGGGTTCTTCTTTTGTCGTGTGAATAACACAAGACAGAAAATATGTGAGAAGCATATTGGAAAAGAATCAGGACATTATGGTGATACTGGATTGTTTCACTAGTATGAAATTAGTTTGAATGTAACAATTTCTCCTATTGTGTCAGACCAACCTAAGCTAGGTTTTTGATTCATTTATTTAGTCTCTCAGTTTATTGTTATAAATACCACAGCAAAGATGAGTTTATTTCTGTTTTGTGTGTAAACAACTGGTGGAAATCCCCAAAATGTCTTGTAAAATTGCTCTTGCTCAATTTAGAACACTTTTAGAACAATGTAGCTAAATTAGTTTATCTACTTAACTCTACATAAATATGCCTGCAACTTACACAATAAAAATCAAAATGTCTCAAAGCATGATTATCTGCCATAATTCTTTTTATAGGTGCTAGCTAATAAGCTTAATTTCTGTGGCCTTTTATATCAGCAAACTGGAAACAAATACATCAAAATGGCTATTTTTTCTGTGTGAAACATTTATTATGGCAAATGCGTTCGTGGAAATTCACATTTAATTATGCTGCTTGGTTTTAGGATTTTATTCCTTGCTGTCTACACAAGGAAATCAACTTATTTTTTTTAAATAAATAATATTTTTGAAAAATGGCAAAAGATCCACAACCTTGTATTCAATGTTTATTTGATTTTATTTATATTTACCCCTTTTGGCTTAATAGACATTATTAATGAACACATGTGTCTTATATTGCTGCATTTTCTTATCTTCTGCCTGAAGGTGTATGCTTACATCAAGCGCCCGAAAGGTTCGTTTTGATTGAACAATTACCTAGAAAATTAGAAGTGTTCATTATTTGATCTTAGCATATTGTAGCATCCAACACAGAGCAATTCATATTTTGCATGTTTCCTTCTTTTTTGTGTGTGTCTTCCAAACTTATCTGGTTCTCAAAAAAGAAAAGGAATTCAAAAGGGAAAAAGAGTTGTGCAAACTTTATTTTTAAAAAATAAATAAATAACTGGGTGTGTGTGTCTGTGTGTGTTTGTGTGTGTGTGGCTTTTGTGCAGGTGGATCTAGTGAAGAACATCAGTAAGATCCCTCAGCCATTTCTCTACACAAGACATGTTCACTTCATGAATTTCACCAGGTACAGTGGAGCAGCAACAGAATAAAAAGCTGACCAACATTGTTCATTAACACTTATTGGCTAATATACAGTATTCGAGATATGAGGGGTTTTTTTCTTCTTTTTTTGCAGGTTCCGGATAGAGCAGCCTGTATACATCAACATAATCCGGGATCCTATAAGCCGGTTCCTCTCCAACTATTTCTTCCGTCGCTTTGGTGATTGGAGAGGGGAGCAGAACCACCTCATCCGAACACCAGGGATGAAAGATGATGAGCGATACCTTGTGAGTACTTTGATTTCAGCAGTTGGGACTTTAAAATCATTTCAGCTTAAGGTGCAAGATGCACTACACAGTTCACTTCATTGATTTTTAATTTTAATCCCCATTCTTGTAGGTTAGTGCACATTTGATTATGCTAAAAAATTGTGAGAGAAAAACATCCTGTCTGATTAAGGGCTTTGTGCCTCAGTTGGATATGGAGTTTTATGCTTTCTGGAGTTTTTGTGTCTCACCAATCTAAATGCTTGACCCTGTCTAAGGGTTACAGCCAGGCTTGGCTTCTAAAACAGTCAGCTTCTATGAATAATGAGGACACTTCCTTTTGACAGATGGAAAAGCACTATTACTCAGTGTATTCCTGCATGTGATTGCATGTCCTAAGAAGTGGAAATATGTCCTCATCAGGCTGATGAGGTTTAAGCAAAGTGTCTGTTACTGTTTCTGCACTTCCTACCTGATGAAGTTTCTTTCATGTCCTCTTTGATGGTGGATGTTTGATTGAGAGATGGAGCTCATTTTTCTTGATTGTGTGGAGTCATCCTTTATCTGGAAACTGCTTTTTATTAGTCCTTTGCTTTTCTTGGGTTTCAAAATGTACTTCTCTTCTGAGGACTGTCTGGAACGGCCCATTTGACTGATTTTAGTTATGTACTACAACCAAATATAAAGCATTTGCTCCTTTAGTCGTTAAATCAAAACCATCTGTTTAATTAAGGCCTATTTTTCCACAGAATAAATGACGTCCTTGACTGAACACCATGCTGCTCCAATTTATAACCCCTTTCAATTAATGAAATAATTAATAAGAGAAAATTAGCATCAGGTGGGGTTGTTTTATGATATTGTTTTTCTGCTATGCCCGCTGGGAAATGAAAGGCTTTGTAGAAATATGATTCACCATAACAGTACTAAAACTGGTCAACTTATTTGCAAAACACTAAACTGGCACCTTTGAAGAGAGAGCTGACTTTCTTATCATTTTGTTTCAATCCCACATTTTCAGTTGGTTTTTCTAAGGAATCTATTTTTAGTCACATCTAATGAGCCAAGCAAGAACTGTATCTTGTAGCATTCCTCTTCTCTTTCTGCTATTTATCCCAGTCCCAGTTTCCACAAGCCCATTAACTCTCCTATTGACTTTGGCAAGATCAATTTTACAGATGCTTATTATTCAAAAAGCTAATGCATTCAGAATGTTCAACACACTATTGCTGCATGTTTGTGCTGTGAGTGATTCTCTCTCTTGGCATTAACAGTGCTTTGAGATAGGACTCGGTGCTCTGATAGCCTGAAGTTCTGCTCAGATATGAACTGAAACAGAAAATGCTAATGTTTGATTCCAGCGTGGCGTTCATGTAAACTCTAATTATACAGTGCTTTGACACTAAAAGGTCTTTGAAGATGTTCCAGAAGCAGGAAATACTGTGTTACCATTCATACAGATCCTGAAGGAATGTCTTTAATGTGAATGCCTAGGTTATCTGAGAGTAGTTAGTGTCTCACTAACAGAAAAAGAAAAATACGTACATTTAATGTAGAAAATAGGATAAAACTCACTCAGAAAATTATCTTTGAAAACTTACCTTTTGCAACACTAAAGGACGCTTTGCACCAACCATTTAATTGCAGCAAGGCATAGCAGAGATACTGAGAAAATATTGACAGAGTAAATTGTTGTATACAAAAAATCAAGTCACAACCTGATATCAGCCTTTTTATCAAATCATAACAAACCGAGGCAGACATTTTAATTACAGACATTATCTATTCTATACCATGACAGACTTATGTACATATATTTTTTGTAAAACATATGTATATATATTTTTTGTAAACCGGCTGTCAGGTATTAACCTGACAGCCGTGTCAAAATGCATTTTGACACTTCCTGTGATATTATTTAGATTTATTTTTATCTAATTATAATTTGCAATTACAATTTTCAACGTATTTAATAATTATCCCAGCCTGATCATATATTCATGTCAGAGTCAGAGACCTAAGAAGGGTCATTCTCAAAAGGCTAACAAGAGCAGCAATAAACGTCAGCCTGGCTTGAGTCAGACGGGATGTAATTAAGTGTTGCACTGTTTTCCCTGGAGTGAGACCATGTGAGTTGAGTTATTAAAGTATGCAGACTACAGGGGCCCCTTCCTACAGTTTAGGGGGAGGAGGAAGCCGTGGTGTTATACAAAGTTACCTGTGCTTTGAAAGTCCCATTTTCAGTTTGCTACAAGTCATATAGGGAACACAGCAAACTTGTGGAAGAAGGAGCTGTGGTCAGAGACAAAAATGTAGCATTTTGACTTGCAGACAAGATGCAAGGAGTTAAAGAAAACTAACATCAAATCATTTCAATCATTCAATGCTTATAGTGAAACATGGTGGTGCCAGAAGCATGCTGTAGACATGGTTTTCTTTAGCAGGGACAAGGAACCTGGTGAGAGGTGATGGGAAGATGAATGGAGTTAAATACAGGGCAATCATAGAGGAAACCTTGTTAGAGCCTATCCTCTAATGCCCCTATAACCAGTGTGAAGGTTCACCTTTGGATTGGCATATTATATGTCATCGCAACAGAGTGCATTGAAGTTGTTCAAAGTGTTTGGAAAACTTCTGCATAGCACTGTAAATGTCAGTAGCAATTCTGACCAGGAGATTATTGTTCTGACCAACATTGTTTATTAACACTTATAGAGAATAGAGAATCAGGATTCTTTCCCAGGCATGTCACCAATTAAAGTTTAAAGTGTTATCAGATGTATCTCCCTGCCTGGTGTGTGTTAGCCTTCGCTGCCCTCCTTTTGGAAGAATTTCAAAGGTGTCAATGAAAGAACACTGTCAGTCTGCCTACATGTGCAAAGGGAACCCTATGCACATGTTGCAGAGACATTCCTGTGGTCCAACTGGATTTTCCGTCAGTCTCCACACCCCTCTTTATACACATTAGCTGTCCTTTACAAAGTGATGTAATGGTTACTTGACCTCATGACATATCCACTTCAGATAAGCATCTGTCAAGTCGCTTATCATTCATAATCTATAATAATCGATTGAACCTTTAATGAATTTAGGTCACATATGAAATGGCAACTTGATTTAAGTTTTTCAGATTACTTGCCAATTTCTCTCTTTAGGTTTGCTTAATCTCATTAGACAATTTATGAAACAATGTATTTCCATTACAATTGTGCACAGATCTTCGCTTATGTTCTGTTAATGTACAACCTTGCTAATGTGAACAATCCTACTTCTGCTGGTTCATGTGATTACTCATACAAAATAGCAGCAATGGATGTAAGGGCATGCAATATATTCATAGTTCAGCCCCAGTGTTTGCGCTCATCAATTATCAGTCATCAGTGGAGTCAGGGTTTTCTTGTTCAGGTGTTGGAGCAAAAAGCACCTTATATTTGAAAGCCCCGTTTTGGGGAAATTGTTGTCAGCAATTTTAAAGAAGAGCTATGGACTCAACACTTTGGAATGATACAACTTTTTATGAACACCTCCGCTAGAGACAGCTGCACAAACTAGGGCTCAAACTTTGTGAAGCAAAAAAGAATAAATGAAATAGACCTTGGGGAGTTCTCACTGTTGAAAGACAGTTGTCTGATCAAGAGATTCCCACCCTAACTGAAAAATCATCTGTTTCCAGTTATACTGTCAGTTACAAGAACCTTGAAAAGAATAATTGCACTCACAAAGAAAGAGGCTTTACTGACATCAGTCATGTCTCAACAAGCCTTGACATTGGGAACACTATGACACTGTCTCCCTCGTTGTCTCCCTGATTGCCTAATTTGTGACCAACTCACTAAATTTGCTTTCTTATTAATATTGAGTACTAGAATTCCATATTTTCAGATTTTTTTTTGTCCAAAAAGATGACATAAAGTGATTTCCCTGGAAGACTTCAAAACCGATAACCTGTTATGAGATTCTTTTTCCTCATAGATTCATTGACTCGCATGCAAGTGTTTTGGGGGCAACAATTAGGAGGTTAATTAGGATTTTGACTTGATAGTGTTGAATGAAATCAAATAGTTATTTTCAAATTCTGCACTTACTGTTTTTAAAGATATCCTATTGCATTACTGTTATGGCCTATATATATATGACTGAAGTTCTTCTCGATATTATTAAAATTGTTTGTCTTTGACTACTGACTGCTGGGATAGGCATGTTAGATAATGGGTAGAAGGGTCTTTGACATCTGAAAATTTGTGACAAAAACAAAGCCTGGCACACTTCCTCATCGATAAAATTTTATAAAGTCATGTGCATGAGATTTGTGCTGTTGTCAATGATTCATCAGATAAACCTTTGGGGGTGAGTTTCCTCCACTGCCCTCTTGAGGTACAAAGATCATTTCAGCTTAAAACAGCCCAAAGAACCATTTCTATGGTGCACACATTTGGTGCCTGCTGCAATCATGTCTTAAATACTGCATTTTAACTTCTCTTTATTCATTCACAATGTAATGCAAGTAACCCTCAAAGTTTGAATGTGGTACTGCATTGTTAAAAGAGAATATAAGGTTATATAGTCACTATTTAATAGGGAACTAAGAGTTGCACTTCTCCTTATTATCAAAAAAGAAACATTGGTCAGCATTCTATCTTCAGCATGAAAACATCCCTGGGGACAGATAGAATAAGACATAGGGAAATAATCAGATAACATTGCAACATTGTTCAAAAGCAGGTCATTCTGAGGTCTAGGATGTGTGACAGAGACTGATCTGGGAGAACAAAAGAGTGACTGTTCATCCACATATGGAATTTTCCACATTTCATCCTCATTCATTTTAATACACTAAAACAGGTAAAACAAAATTTTATAATCACTTTTTGTTTTCTTGATTTAGTTTGAACCTTCTTCTATCATGGAATGATTAGACAATAAACAAGAGCAATGAAATCTAGAAACAATAATTTAATAAAGAAAATTAATATTTCTTCAATATTAATTTAAAAAACAGACACAGTTAAGGCACAGTTGGCTATTTCAGTAATGCATAAACAATTGCAGAAGTGATCTTCCCAAAGCCTCAAACTTAAGCCTCCTAAAAAAAATGTGTGTACTATGGTTGAGATCTGGGTTCATTCATGAAAACCAACCAATTTAAATTAGACATACTAGTTTCGCTAAGGAGACTGGTGATTTATCCAGTTAGATGCCACGTATCGGAAAAAGAACGTGAATAAATCCAAACTTGAACATGAAATTATTTTCTTAACTTGCACTGAAGGTTATAAAACTATTCCAATGCTTCAAAAAGAATTGACATAAATGAACCATTAAACTCTGACATTTCATTTGCATCCATAATAACTTGAAGCAATATGCACAAGTATCTAGAAGAATATGCTGCATGTGCAGAGAAATTAATTTCTTATTAAATTATGGTTCAGTTCTAGTCACATAAATACAATAAATTAGTCTTTATAATATGTAAATGTATAAAGCATTATCTGCCTATGAAAATCAGTTGATGTTATCAACTTTGTTTCTGTTCACTGTTTAGTTGCTCTGTGTTTGTTTTAAGGGTTGCCAAACTACTTAATAAGAGGACATCATGCAAATGTGTTTCATGTTGTTGGCAGAGATATAAAGTTTTACTCACAAGGAGGTGTTAGCGCAACAGAGAATAATTTAATAATGGAAAGAATAATAATGGAAATCAAATAAAGAAAATTAAATATGTCAATAGTTCTTGAGTGAAAATTACAAAAACATATTAAATGATCAGTATCCCAATTACACCGTGTTCCAAATTTTTATGCAAATTGGATTTAAGTGTCATAAAGATGAAATATTTTGTTGTGCTATTAAATTTATAGATGGTATTGTGTGTCTGGGCTCTTTCAATCTTTATAATTAATTTCAGAGAGCTGTGTTGATTAGTTTGTCTGGTGAGTTCAGTTAAAGGAAATCTGTGTTCCGCATTATTAAGCAGGCCACAGATTTCGAGCATTATGGGAAAGAGAAAGGATCTCTGCTGACAAAAATCATCAGATAGCGTAGAACCGTGTGACAAGGAATGAAAACATTAGATATTTAACAAAAACTGAAGTGTTATTATCGTACTGTGAAGAGATTTGTGGCTGATTCAGAACAAAGATGGGTTTGTACAGATAAAGGGATAATGAGGAAGGTTTCTGTTAGACATATTCATCGGATTAAGAGAGCAGCTGATGAAAGCCCCTACAAAGCAGCAAACAGTTATTTGAAGCTGCTGGAACCTCCAGAGGCTTGCAGTGCATAAACCTACTATTCAGCCACCCCTAACCAGAGCTCACAAGCAGAAACGGTCGCAGTGGGCCCAGCCGTACATGACGATTCATTTTCAAACAGACTTGTTCACTGATGACTGCTGTTCAACCATGGATGGTCCAGATGGATGCAGTTGTGGATTGGTGGTGGATGGCCACCACATACCAACATGGTTGTGAAGTCAGCAAGAAGGAGGAGGAGTCATTTTTTGGGCTGAAATCATGAGCAGAAAAATATAATATAAATAAAATATTTTCTCTTTCATTATACACTTAGCACATTTTACTTTATGTACATTGTAAAACATTATGACTGGTGCTTCAGCCGCTCATTGCTTTTTTACTACTCCAGCAGCTGTCTGCATGTGTTTGAGCATATTGCCAATCAGATCATATGATACAGTCAGGGAGTTGTGTCAGCCAATACATCCTGTCTTTAAGCAGTAATGTCATCGCAAAGATTGAAAAACATCTAAATTATTTGAGAAAACTCAGATTTAATAACACAAACATATGTGTGAGTGCTATTACAAGTTTGATTCAAGTTGTTCTCCTGAAATCGAACAATGACTTCAAAAAGTTGCTCATGCAATAAAAAAAAAAGGCTGCTTGGTTTCGACACTGAGTTAAATACACATTTTTTAAAAATGATTTAACAGGACCTTGAATTGCCACTTGAGACTGCTTGAGGATGTCCCATATACAGGGTGCTGTTTAAATTGAAACAACAGCCAACTTGTTATTAGTGCAAACATGACCTGAATAGCACAGCACTCCAGTGTTGAACTCTTTCTTATAGGTCTTCTGGGCTTTTGTTGTAATTTCAATGAAGAGCTTCCCACTTACTTGCTACATTGGTAACCAGGAAGTCTTAGTTCTTGAGCACAACCTTATTAGTCTGTCATAAAGTTCATAAAACTCCACAGCTCCTCGCTGAATCAGAAAAAAACTGGTCAATAAAAGGATGTATCTAGATCTCTGTTGGACATTTTTGCCCATACGGTCTTATTTTACTTTTTTTTTAACCATTTTTATAAAACCTATAGACAATCAATAAATATAGATAGATTTTTGCTTCTTCTTGTTTTTTCTAGGCCAGTGATTTTTATATGGTAGTGTTTTTAATTTTTAATTTTTTGTTTTTGCTTAAGGCAATTGATCACTTTTTATATGACTTAAATGCCACTCGCTAGCTCTCATAGAAACCAAACTCTCCAAAACAAAGCCTGTTCATCCGTAGGTCTTTTACATCATTTCCTCATCAGCAGCTGGAATCATTTGGGGAAGGCCAGAGTTCTGGTTTTGTCTACTCAGCTAAATGACACAGATTCTCAGCACTAAGAATCTGTGTCATTCTCAGTGCTGATTTTGATCAATTACTCAGTTGAGCTCTGCTATTAGAAAATATTCCAAAGTGGTGATTAAAAGAACCAGCTTTGAGAACATGTTTGTTCCCAAACAAATGCTGTCAAGTAAAGCTTCCTAGACTGTTTTGTTTCTCAGGACTTGTTTCCACGCAGAATACTTACGTCACCTGACATGGATTTGACTCCAGGTTCCACAGTGACTGGCCTGCTTTACTGCTGCATGTGTGTTTTTAATATTTGTTCATGTTTCCCCATATCATTTTTAAGAACTTCCAAATTCAGGCAGAAAAGTCACAACTCTCCCTGATCACTACACGTCCAGCATCTAAACTGTGAAATCTTTTTGTGTGTTCTACTGATTTTTTGTTGTTATCTGTGCACTGATAGCAGATGAAGGGCTGATTTTATCTTCTTGCACATAATGTTGTTTCGTAATGCGCTTTGGCTCGCCATTGTGAAGCTGACTGGGTTTTTCAAAGTGAAGAACTCCATCTAGTGGATAAAGCCGGCCACTAAACAACAACTAAAATAAACGTAGAAATAAGAGCTTCAGAACTAACATTACTGTGTTTGTCTACTTTCAGGATATAAATGTGTGCATTCTCGAGAATTACCCTGAGTGCTCCAATCCTCGAGTTTTCTACATCATTCCCTATTTCTGTGGACAACATCCTAAGTGCAGGTAGATTTAACTGCTTTGGGAATCTTTCACTTCAATTCTTTTGACATAAATATTGTTTGACTGCTCACTTGTACTACTTGAATGCCTCACAGAGAACCTGGAGTGTGGGCTTTGGAGAGGGCCAAGCAGAATGTGCTGGAGAACTACCTCCTTGTGGGGATCTTGGAGGAGCTGGAGGATGTTCTGCTTATGCTGGAGAGACTCTTACCCCATTACTTTTCTGGAGTACTTGACATTTATAAGAGTCCAGGTTGGTGCTAACTGATAAATATCATGATGTTTGTCATTCTTAAAACAAGACGCAAAGACTTTAATTCCATCTGATAAAATTATTATTTTTTTAATTGTGTTTGGGCATGATGCTTATATCAAATCGAGAAATATGTGAAAAGACCCACTCACAAAGTTCTTACCAATCACACAATAGTTTTGTATGCAGAAAGGGGTCAAAAGTTTGCAAGGAGCTTTGTGACAAGAAGGGGCGACATGAGGCTGAGAACAACATGACGTGATTTATGTCATTCTACTGCAACAATCAAAAATGATTTTGGCAGTTTGGCTTGACTATGCAGAACCATTAATTCATTAAGTTGGGTTTCTTACATGTTATCTTGCCTAAATTAGTGAAATTAGAGAAATTAGGTCAGAGATGGCCACATTTCCAGGTTTATGGGAAGTGTTTAAAATACACACTGAGGTCAGACATGTTTATTTAGTTTCAGGAAGCTTACCCATGTTCCCTTAGTACAGGACCTTTGCCAAAGTACATATGCTCTCTCCATTCTTTCCTAAATGACTATGCATTCATTCAAGATATTCACTACAGATAACTATTTTTTATTTTAAAATATTTAAAAAATTTGTTCCTGATTAAAATAATGGACTGTAGAGTTCTGCTTCACCTTACACCAACATCAACATCCAGGCATGGTAATTTCATTCATTCATGCTATTTCATTTCCTCAAAAATGTGATGAAATTACCCATTTCAGCATAAATAAAAAAAAATACAATTGTTTTACTAATCAAGCTTGATATGTATAAACAAAAAAGTTTTAGCAAGTGGTTTATTAAATGAATTCAACTGTATTAACTGACTTGTCTTTTTTGTTTGTTTGTTTGTTTGTTTGTTTTTTTCCTTTTTTATCAAAGAATATCGAAAAATGGGAAACCTGACCGGCACGGTCAGAAAACATACCCCTACGCTCGAGGCCCTGCAGGTGTTGTATCACCGCATGCGCTACGAGTACGAGTTCTATGACTTCATCCGTGATCAGTTTCACCTCATGAAGAAGAAAATTGGCCTGAGATCCACCTCTCGCCCGCCGGTCTACCCGCCAGATTTTTTACGTGAACTGGCCCTTCGAACACCTGAACCTTTAGATGAAGATGAAGAGCTAGACTCAGACCTGGAGGATGCCAACAGCTGGCTGGTTCATCCCTGAAGAAAGCGTAAACAGTGGATAAAGCCAAACAATAGAGTCGACTAAAACTGGCTAAAGAAAGCTTGAGAAACCCACAGGAATAGTGGCAGTATGTCCCATCTTTTGGATGTTGGCACCTTTACTTTGGAGAGTTCGGTTTTTCGTCTTCAAGCTCTTATGATGAAAGACCCAGCACTTTGGACTTACGCAACTGAAAGAAACAAAAATGATCTATTTAAGAACTGGACAAGGACAGATGAAAATAATTACAGGCTCAAGTTATTTCATAATTGATTTTACTGGAGCTTGTTATGAGGGTTTTATGATCTTAACTGTTATAATCTCCAGGAGAGATTAGAGGGCAATTTAATGTGTTGGGATATACACTAAATGTTGAAGAGGATTTCAGAGACATTTCCAGTCAGACTTTTATTTTATAAAAGTGCTGATTTAATTATAAAAAATGACTTGGAGGGGGGGAAAGGGGAGTGCCAAAAGTATTATATGTATATTAGTTGTGCAGGACTGTTATAAGTGCCAAATCTCATTAGGATGTCCAGTAACTGTGAGACAGGAAGCTTTGGGATCACAGTTGGTAACAGTTGCATTAAGTTAAGTCAGTTGTTATAAGATGTTTATAACATTTTAAGGAACTGTCAAATGTTGTAAGGTATGAATGAGGGTTAAACCAAACACATCTATTATGAATTCAGAGAATTCCACCTAGATGTACATGAATGACTGAGTTTGACCTTGCCAACAGAGTAATTTAGAATAGTTTTGGGAAATACAATTCTTTGAGAGTATGTCAGGGGTATGAGTTACATGCTAAAAGCATTAGGGTGCCTCATTTGTAATCCAAAGGTGAAAAGAAATCAGAGTTTACCAAATAACTATTCTGCTGTGATGCTTTTTTAAACTGTATAAATATCCTGCAGGGTTTTTTTTTTTTTGTGAAATAATGCTTTGTGAACATCTGCAGCAAAATGAGGGATTTGATCAAAACTGGATAGCATTTTGCCTTTTATTTTGACTTGGTTATGAATGATATTTGCTTGCAAGGTATGGAAGTGTTTGTGATCTTTTGTGTTTTAGAGAGTACTGAATTCTTAAAGTGATGTTCTTTAAAAGATTATAAGCAGTTAATATCTCACCCTCAGTAAAACTCTACATATCTTCATTTAGAGTTTTTTGGATTTGCTGTCACTACATGCAAAGGCTAAGCAGAAACTGTCAAGCACCAAAGGATTTTATGGCAACTGACATCTCAATAACATTAAACAAGTTTCTTTTTTGTTTTTTTAGATCACTTGAGAAACCTTAAACTATCATTAGGTTTGCTTGACTTTTGTTATTTACAGAGGAGCTGATAATTATTGAGATAATGAAGCTCAGAGATGTTGCATCACCAATAATGTTCCTGTATCAAGCAAGTACTTAGATCACAGTTGGCCACATTTCCAGACAACTTGTATAAAAGAAGATTTAATGAATGTAAGAAGCAAAAGTCTCCATTCTGATTTACAAACTTTTGTAACGCTTTATTTTTCTATGTGACAGATGTTTCACACAGGTAAATATTACTAGTGCTTCAGCTCCGATGCTAACTATTTAGCTTATAGTAAATAAAGACACCCAACAAAAGCTGTTAACTGCTTAGGATCTTTGAAAAGAGCCACATTAAAAAATTGAACTTTTTTAATGTGTTTATGTCAACTCACAGTAACTATTTTTTTTATCTTTTTTTTTTTATCACTTCTAGCTACTGGTAGAAGTAGCATAAAACCCACATAGCCATAAGCTAACATGTCAACTACAGACTTAATCAACTCCTCATAACCTGTCCTCTTGGTATTGTTGCATTTATGTTCTAAGTGTTTTATTTCATATCAATTTAATTTATTATTTTGTAATCATTTGCATTCAAGATAAAATTCTCAGGAAGGAAAACAGTGTTTAGTGTGTATCATGTTTCTCAAAGTGATGAGACTACACATGCCATTTCAATGTGTCTACAGTGGGAAACTGGTTCATAATAAATTCATTTCATCATTTAAGGCCTTTGAGATAAATGTCCTTTGAATTTGCAGCTTTTTTTGGCTAAGAATGTATTTTTGCAAACGTGATATTTTTTGTTGTTGTGGCTATCCTGCTCTGATTGCTCCAGCTTATCTCATCTTACCAAACCTCAATATAGGTCTCTTTTTCACAAAGAAGGGAGAACTTATACCATAATACATGTCCTGCTATTTTCTTTCTTAAGCATAATTTTATTTTAGTAGACATACCTTTATACCGATGCTTTAGACTTTATGAAGGGACCTTTTATGACTGCGAGTTTAATTTATAAATAGATAATATTGTTCATTGAACCAAATCCAGTGTAAAAGAAAAAAAAGTGTTTAACCTGTAAAATGCTGTGAAGACAAAAAAATTCTCAGATTTGAGTGAAAGATCCAAAGCTGTTAATGAAAAGGCCACTGAAGCACACAATTTCTGTAGCAGTCTGAATATGGAGTGTGAGATAGAGGAGTGAAACTTCTTACTTAATGGAATAGGACGTAAAGGGGAGAAAGAAAAGTGCTGTCTCAAACCCACTGTTCTTCAATTTATTTAAAAACAGTGTTGCTGGTTAAGATTTTTTATTTATTTATTTATTTTTTTGCCTGTTTCATGTTATCAGTCAGGTTCTATTGTTGCAATTTCCTGATTCCACAAAACTGGCAGTAATAAGGAATGGGCAACATTTTTTTGTTTTTCTGCTTTTTCCAGTACAGTGTAATTTCTGTATACTGAATTAATTTCCATCAGTTGACAGAAGGAGTGGTTAACATTAGCAGGAAAATTTCAGCCCCAACTGCAGCAGACTTCTTTAATTTTTTCCATCCACACAAATGTAAACATTGGTACAGACTTTTCAGGTAATCCATGTGCAGTTTTTCCACTCAGAGGCTGAATACAAAGATTTACTTCATGTGAAAGGTGATGCAGAGAGAGTGAACTTTCTGCTACTGCTTCAGTTGAACTTCGTCTGCTGCAACAAACAGGAAACAGTGTATGTCAGATGTTCACAAAAGAGCATAGACAAATTATTTAACTGAAAAGCTTTGTCTCTTTACTTCTTCTTTTCTAGCAGAAGACATTGGAATAAGCTGTGGATGTGGTATTTATGAAACAGTCTTTATTTATTTTCTCTGCTTGATATCATTGTAAAATATGTTTCCTAAAGCAGAAACATAAATGGAATTGAAAAGCAAATCTACGGTAGGCATGAAGAGGAATACATTCTCAGTGTGTTACATGTATTTCTCTATTATGATAAAAACAATGGCAATGAAGCCATTTGTGATGATTGTAGATCTGATTTCCGAGCACCAATGCTTCAATTTCATAATTTACCCTCCTAATGCTCTCTATGGCTATAGGAAGCCATACATCACCTCAACACAACAGTTTGTTCCTGGATTTGGTCCAAACATCTGGAGATTATATCTTGGCTCCTGAACACAGTAATGACGTGCATATCCTTGAGTATGTCAAGCATACAGATTGCTAACAGAAATACAAGCATGAGGAAAAACTGAACTAAAGTTCTCAACAATAGATTAAACCAGAAAATACACCCACATACACAACCCGTAAATATGGGTTCAAGGTCAAGGAAGTAATGAGGCTGTCAAACTGATGTTAAACTGTAATACTTTAAGTTGTTCACAGTCGTCTGAATGCCCTGAGAATAATTTCTAAAAAAGGCACTTTTCCTATTATGATACATTCCACAGTGCAAACAGCCTAAACTATATCTTAAATAACTTACTTGTAAAGCAATAAGTCTATTTTGTTTTAACTTAAATAATTACAATAAATGTAATTCTGTAGGCATCTTTATCCGTCCAACCATTGTCGTCTTTAAAAATCAGCGTCAAGTACAAAAGTAATACTAAAATTGATCTGACCCTTTAAGTATTATTCATTTTCCTGTGGTCTCAAAATATGTACTTAACATTCACACATTCATACTCTTTCGTTGATCAAACATTGACCCATGTAGGTAAGCAGAAGACATTGAGTTGAAAAGTCCTCAGGGCCCCATTTTGTACTGAATTGTTGGTCAGTTTGCCAAAAAAAATGTCCACAAAAAACAAACCCTAGCTCCAACGATTTCATAAAAGCTTTTTTGTTTTGGGTTTTTAAATTTTCCACCAGTACAATAAACCATTGATAGGTTGTTTATCTTTCATTTCTCAGTTCTTTTCCTCCTATGGCCTGGTTTCCCAGCAGTGAGGAAGCTCAGGCTTTAGCTTCATGTTGGTTTAGCTCCATCCCATCCTCTGCATCTTTGTTGCCAGGGCTTGAATTCTTCTTTCTGGGTTTGCTTCCAAGAGATTTAGCCTCTTCTAAAGTGGTGGGGAGAGGTTTGCCCAAGGTTTCAGGTAAGAGCAAAGTAAGTACTCCAATTATAAATGCCAGGATTCCTACAATGAGCTGAAAAAAGATGGTAAAAGTATATCTTATGTTGAAAAAGCATATAAAATGAGAATATTGTGACAAGAGGGACACAGACTATGATGCATTTAAACAACATATTAACAAATTTCCTTAGCATGCTGAGCTCCTCAGTAAAGGTGGACTCATCTCAAAACCATGCAGGAACTTTTTTTAAAACTCTATTTCATCAGATATATGGCTTCACTAAGAAAATCTGTCTAAAAATTGCATATGCAAATTGTGACCTGTTAGATTCTTATGTTAGAGCAAAAACAAACATTGAAGAGTTTAAAGATTTTGATTAGGAAGAATAAATATTTAACATAACAGATATTTAACATATCTGTTTCATTTTTTCTTGTTTTGGCTGAGAATTCAGATTTAGTACTGCCAGAGGAAAAAAAATACGCAGTAATGAATTAGGTTTCTGGGCAGAAATCCCTTCATGTAGGGGATGTTTTGCTACAGGTCAAGCGCTGAACAGAATAAATCAGCTTGAGTTGTTGAGTCAGTCGATCCTGTTAGAAAAGACCAGGAAGACTCATCCTTGGATTGAGGCGTAGCCACCACTAATGTGGCTTCTTTTTTGCAACTCCTCACCACAGAAACCAATTTGAGCCAATAAATATAAACTTTGCGGGTATGATTTTGAGAGCATGTCTGGGATTGCAATCTTTAGTTTGGATCTGACCGATAAAGAAAGGGTAAGAGGCATGCTGTTGTGACAGGTCCAGTTGAGGCTGATAGATATTTAGCACATTCTCATCTGTCCCACAGAGAATGCATACAGATGGAACGCTGTGAAAGCAACATTTGGCTTTATTAACAGATAAAGGCACACAAGTTTTAAAAAAATGTTTCTGCATGAGGGTGCTGTGGTGACACAGGGGGTAAGCACAACCCACATATGGAGGCCTTAATCCCCGACGTGGTTGTCGCAGGTTTGATACCCGGTCTGGCGACCTTTGCCGCATCTCTTCCCCGTCTCTCAATATCCACGTTCCTGTCAATTTACTATCAAGTAAAGCCCACTAGAGCCAATAAAACCTTTGAAAATGATTCTGCCTTCCTGGTTTCCTAATTATGTGAATGGAGTTAACTAGACATATGCATCCTTGTGGAATCTATAATAGTCACTTAAACCCTAATGGATTTGATGCAGAAAGATATAAATGGAAAAAAAAACAGTATCCCTCAAAAAGCTTGCAAAAAAAAAGAACAGAAAAGGTCATACCTGAGGTAAATAAACCCAGACATCAGCCAGGTAAACGCAGAAAGGAGCCACAACACTACCAACACGACACATCATGCTGCCACTACCGACTGCCAGAGACCTGCAGAGGGAACATTCAAGCACGATGCATTAACTTAGTCCAGATAGACCAAATCAAGAGAACAGAATTGCCATTGGTGCAAATTATTGATTACAGCTATTTTAG